CCCCCATGACTGGGATGCAGTTATATAAATAGAGGAGAACTAGAGACGGGGAAAGCTGAAAGTGAAGAGTTAGGCCTTGAATTTATGTGAATTGCTGAGATTCATGATCTTTCACTTTTCTTGAAGAAAAATATATGCATGTGAATAGTCATTGAAAAAGTACAATATTCATTGAAAGAGTCGAACTTTTATTTATTAGCTGTTGATATTTGGTGTTCTTGTTAAGGAAGTGATCTACACGGGAGCAGTTTGATTCAGTTATTTGAAAATTCCATCTGAACTGGATAATTTGACTTCATTCTTTTCCTTCTGAGAATCTACCATCAGTGAAAGGCTTCTGCAGCCTCTGCTTCCAGTAATGTCACTACAAAACACATAATTTTATCTATTCCATATTATATTGCTTCACACCTGGACTCAGCTATTAATTTCTGTGCCATTTATTATTCCAGGTTGTTTAAACTTTGCGCAGGTGGTTGTAGAGCATTTAAGCATGTGACCCTGATTAGATGCCCTTAATAGTATTAAAACAGCCCTGATTTGTAGTTCTTGTATGGTGATCTAAGACTCATCTGGGATTAAAAAAAAAAAAAAAAGAATGTCTCTCAAAGCTTCCAAAATGCCTAAAGATGAGTTTATGTAAAAGGAAATGATGAAGGATATGATGTAATTGTAAAGGGAGGAGCTCTGAATTTGGAAAGCTACTTTTCTTTCTTTCTTTTTTTCTTTTTCTTTCTTTTTTAACTTAAAAAAAAAAAAAGCGTGGCTCAGTGCCATTTGCAGGATGACCATGCACTCATACATGTTGAAGTGAAGCTCTTGTTATTGTTCTGTTTGAACACAGTGAATTTCTTCTATCTGTCACTACACTGTGGTGTTTTTGAGGCAAGAAATAATGTCATATCAAATAAGCTGCTCTAAAAATTGACATACTTCTTTTTACACTCCATCATTTCATGTCCAGATCGGGATTTGCAGGATGATTACCAAAGTTGTCTGTGCAACAGAGTACATACTAATCTGGCTGTTGATGACTCTTCAAGTTACAAACTTCAGCATTATCCTCTCTAGACAATAAATGTACAGCTCTTGAAATGATGTGCAATTGTTTGATGACAGGAGGATTCAAACCAGCAGATCTCCCTATCTGATACTGTCGCAGCATCCCAGTGGCTTCTGGCAGCTATCTTGCGGTGTCCTGAGAAACCCGCGAGTCAGGCAGTGGGACAATACCCCGGAGAATATCTGCACAGAAGAGTTAGGATTTTTGTAAACGCTCAGTTACATGTGTACATGCTGCTATGAAGTGAAGCAAGCTGAAGCGCGTTATTCTGACATGCTTCTTGGGAACTAGGTATTATGTGGAAGTTGTATTTTGAATAATAGTTCTAGGTAGGCAAACCCATGTTCTCATATGGATGATTTGTTTTCATTAAATGATGAGCTATTGCCTACCAAATTTTGTGTCCCTTTGCTAAGGAAATAGCAGCTCCTTAGAGCAATAGCTTATATTTAATTCATATGTAACAGAAAACGTATATGAAGAAAAATAGCTTCCTATGTGTTACTAGGTTCCCATTTAATAAAGAAGCCCTACAAGAGCATCTTTAGTGGTATTTGATATACTGACATTAGACACGTTTTTTTGTCATGCAACTTGCTCCTGCGTCATCTCAATCACTCAGAAAACCTTCACCTAGGAGTATTGTCTCATGGATAAGGAGTTCCTGTTTTTAATATTCGTTTCTAGAGAGAGCTACTATTCCTTCAGAATCATGAAGAAAACTAGCAAAGAACTGAGCTTCACCTCCCCCCCTCCCCACTAGGTGGAAAAGGAGATCCTCTTTAACCTAATGTGGGCTGCACTGGTTAGAAAAAACCATAATGTTTAGTTCATGTGACTTGTTCATATAAGGAAGGGTTGAGTTTGGGTTATGGATGCAACTCTACATCCCTCCCTCAAACAGGATTTTAAAATATTAGTAGAAAGCTCATACTAGATCTACCAATTTATCAGGCTAGACATGCCTGTGTGTCAATACGGCCTCTTGAGGGCAAACCAGCACTCAGCTGCTTTGTGCTTAGATCTGGCTAGGTGCCAGCCAGTTTGAATCTGAATGCAGTGTGCTTACGCTAATGTGGTAAATCCTGCCTAGCAAAGCTACTTGACTCTGAATAAAAGCTTGCTTGTGCCCTGCCGGCTTGGAAAGTCAGATCAAGCACAGCTCTGTCTTCTAGAGACTGTGTAGACCCTGCAGTAAAGCAGTTCGTTGGCAGGGGTAATAGTCGCCCTCTCGTTTTCAGAGCAAAATCTGGAGGATGGGAAAGAAGAGCCTGTGTGTGCTGTTTGCTGATGTATTAACAGCAGTGTTTCTGTAAGATGTGATAGGGTGTATTTTGATTTCATTTTAATGCTCTAGGAGCTAGTTATAACAAGTGGCATGAAAATTGCTCTTCTAATGCATTGTAGTGTTTTCCGCACTCTACCAGATGGTTAACAAAGGGTTTGGAATCGGTACTGCTTTAGGTAATTTTGAGGGAGTTTTTAATGGAAGTCTGTATACTGCACGTGAGGAGATTATAGACTATGTATTACTTTCAAAAGATTAAAATATATGCAAAGAGCTAGGAGCTTATAAATATCTTTGTTTTCTGTCTGGAGATGGGTTTACAGAAGCTAAAACTCTTTCTGGATCTGGCTTTGTTGGAAGTGTTTTATAGCTGGAAATAAGCTGAAATGAGTGGTATTGAAGGGGATTAAAAGTGAAAATCAGGAAGAAAAGATTTATGCATGTTTCATGATAAGTTCTGTTTCTTTTTTAATTTAAAAAAAAGCCCTCATGCACTTCAAAAAAAGAATTTTCGTGGATCATCACAGCATACCGTTGAAATGTTGCTGCAGCACAATTTGTTTTGCTTGTGAGAACTCAGAGTTTTGCTACAGAACATGTTCAAGGACACGATAATTTTCAATATATTTGACTACAGTTTGTTTTAGAGCACTGACTTCTGTAGTTCAGCATGTTGAGACAGTTGCATTTGTAAATTGCTACGTTTTTCCTTATCTAATGCAAAGCTTTTCCCGGGTATTTACTCTTAGGTAGAGTAAAGACCAGATAAAGTCTGGTCTTTATCACAACAAAGCATTTTATTATGGGACTTGGGGGGGGAGTCAATGCTATTTGAAAAGAGTTAGTTATTTTTTTAGAATGTTGGCTTATGAGCTTGGCTCTCTCTATATGCACGTTATTTCATTTCTGTTTTTTAAAATGAGTAAAGCTTTTGTGTGTTGTTTTTATTTTGTGCCAAGACTGAGTGACTGTTATCTAGGAATCGTTTGACTACAGACTAAATCTTGGTAAGATTTCAGTAAATCTCTGCAGTGATTTTTAAATTCCAAAGTAAGTAAATATTGTTTCCAAAAGAATAAATGTTCTTCTCCACCCCCCACCCCCACCCCCCAAAGGACCTCATACAAACCAACTTTTCACTCTTTGTATAGTGTAGGAATCGAAATACTTTGTTTTCGTATGAATTTATGCTTAGGAAGACTGCTTTAAAATCCACCCCAGAATACATTGAGCATAGCTGTTTTGAGTATGACTGTGAGTAGCTGAAGGACTGTGTATCGATCTGTGCTCCACCTGAGGAAAGCAGGCTTGATTTAGGATGCTGAATTGGAAACAGAGAAACTAGGAGCTAGGATATCTGGTATTTTTGTTTAACTTGTTCTTCCTACATGAAATGTTTAGTTTATGGGCATTTACACGTAGTAACAGAGAGGGGCTTTGCTAGCTTGGAAGATAGAAGATTCACTAGAAGAGATGACATCTTAATTTTAATATGAAAACCTATTTACAGAAATAGGAACAAACAGCTTTTAAAGTCTCCTGTCAACACTATTGGAGAACACCTTGGTAATCTGGTTTGAGAATTTTCTGGAGTGAGAAAGACAGTGAGGGGAATTGAATGTGGGCTTTTCTTTCTTAGGAAAGTCTTCTCATTTCTGAGCTACTAGGTGATAAATATAACCTTTAGAGTTGCACAGTAAATTTCTTTATCTGGTGGCATTAGACCCAAATTTAAAAACAATGTGTTATTTTGTTTTGCCCAAGTTGTTCTGTTCTTTTTTGGTTGGGAGGGGGGTGCTAGTTCAGCAATACTAGAGTTCTCATCATCTAAGAAGTATGAATGAAAAGAAAAAGGAAGGTGGTGTCATTGCCATAAAAGTTAGATTATTGGTAAAAACCCTTAGGAGCCTGGATGTTACATGATGGAACAAGGAGGTTTAGGTGAAGATGGGAAGAGTGAAATGAGGCTCTGAATTTGATTATGGTAGACTGGAGGATACATTTTTCTAAGGTTATTTTAAGCAAACAAAAAATCTTTTGAGAGTTACTCATATCATACCTGAAAGTGAGACTCTCATCTTAGTCTGGAAGGAGGCATGAATGTAATTACTGCTAATAGCATGGCTTTTTTACCTCTTCAAAAGAAAAACTACATAGATGAATTTTTAGTAATCCCTGGTTTATTTTGTGAGGAAGAGTATATGGCTTATTTTGAAAAAAAATCTGCCTTTGGAATGAATATTCAGTGAAGGGTCGGCAACATGGTTATAAACACAGTTAGCAGATGTTTTAACTTGTGGGTTGTTCCATTCTAAGAACTAAGGTACAAATGTGCTTTCACTTCATAGAGCCTTGGATCTGAGCAAAAATATACCCTTGGAGCTGTTCGTAGCTGCTGTTGATGCAGAAAATGTTAAGTCTCGAACTCTGTTTCAGTTCCTTTTTTGGTATTCTCTAAGCTGGAATTGAAGGCATGCTGTATGGCCCATTCTGCTGTTGTTGTGACCCTGTGGTAGCTGTAATCAGTGGCTTGTGAGATGAGGGAGACTTGCGAGATAGCGATTGGCTGTGGGACTGGGGAGCGATTTCCTGGAGTACATCTGTGTAAAGCAGAGGGAGCTCGAGCAGTCATGTATGCGCAGTCGCTGATATCTTGGGATATTCATTACAGTGTCTTGTACAAGGGCATTCTTCATTTCTACGTATTAGCATGGAAGAAGCTCATCCAGGGAAGAAAATGCAACCTGTATGTAAATAGCAACTGTATAACTTAATAGTGGTTTGAATGTGTTTTGAGACAAGTAATATTTAGCAACTTGCATCTCAGAGTGTTGTACTATCTTGGGCGCGTTAGTTGTGGAAGAAATCTCTGAAAGATTTGGTGGTAGAAGTAATATTTGAAGTAGAGATTTCTGTTATATAGGAAATATTTTCTGTGTAACTAGAATTGTTTAATTGTACTAAATGGCTTTATCTGAAAAGAAAATGTGCTTTTAAAATAGGAATAGAGTACTGCCAGATTTTAGGAGTGGTTTTTTTTTTTTTTTTGAATAATTTCTGACTCTGCTTTTCTTGATTTGAAGGATATTGACTATGGCTTTCTGAGTTGTTTTATGAGCAATTCTGTGAAAGTATAGTGGGGAAGTTTCTGGTATTGAGATAGCCTAGTGATTGTTCCTTTTGGCCTCTCTCTCTTGCCCTCCAACCCCCCCCTCCCCCCCCCCCCGAGCTTAATGAGTTTATAACTCAGAAAAAATGTTCATGGAGATATTGTTCTTCGGACTTCAGTGTTACAGCTGTAGAGCTCCCTTTGTAGGGATTTTCACGATGAGGCAGTGAACTTTAATAGTGTTATGAGTTATTGTTTTGTTCCTGAGTGGATAGTCTTTGTCACTGACATTTAACTGCAAGTGCAGTGTGTAACAGGGGTAATTACTTTAGAGTCCAGCGGAAACTAAAAACTATGGGATGGAATTTTCTTAAAACTTTAATGAGCCCTGGATTATTTTATAAAAAAATCTTTAAGGTCACTAAATTTACTATATTCCTTTTATGAGCATAATCAGTAAGAATTTCATTTAGACACTTTAAAATGCATCTAATTGCAATGATCTTGTTTGTTAGGAGCTATGTAGTACTGCTATTGATTTCTGATTTCCATTATAGTGCTGCCTTCAATCTGGACATAGAACTCTAACAGCCCTTACTGATATGTATGCCTAAGATTTAAGTCAGTACTAGTTAAAGCTGATTTAGTACTCCGCAGTAATCTGCTTTCTTAGCCTTTAAAAGACAAGGCAAAGATCTGTTTCCTGCATATTCAATTAAGAGAGAACTCTGGGGGCAAAATGTTCATTGAAGTAGTTACTAGATTTCCGTTGATGAAATCCAACGTTTTAGGAAGTCATGAATGAGTTTCTGTGTTAACGTTTTGCGTTTTGCTTTTATCCAGCTCTTGTAAGCATAAGACTTGCACAGCCTTCTGTCCTTTCCTCCTTCCCTATCCCAAATTCCAGGGAGGAGGAGAGGGAAGGGGAGGAGGAGAAAGAGACAGAGAAACACACACACACCCCCATACCATTTCTGCTTAAGTTGTAAGCTAAATTGACAACTGTATCTTAAATAAAAAGTTGTACAAGCCTCAAAATTTAAAATATGTGTTTTTCTAAATGTAAGAAGGAATAGTATATTCTGTTCTAATTTTTTTTTTAAGTTCGCTTTCATTGAGGTGACTAGCTCTAAGAATTCTACTATTTTGCATGCTGTATTTGTAGGATTGTTCAATTTGGAATGAAGCAGTGCAATGTATGTACAGTGTATTTCTCTGAGCGTTGTGCTTTGAAATTTAGAGAAATTTAAGTTATTTGGCTGTTGGGCAACTGATTTCTTTGATTATAATTTTAGAAATAATTGAACTGAATGGAGCTAGGAATCTTTTGAATTAAATTTAGTGCTATAAAGCAGTAATACAATACAACATAATAAAATGACAGCTATATTGTTAAATATGCATCTTGAAATCCCGTTGGACCAGAGACGGTACTTGCTAACTTTACGCACGATGGTAACTTTTCTGGCTCACAGAACGCTGAGTGTTGAATTCGAACAGACTTCTGATTTTAGTTGAATGGATTCTTGCATTTTAGTCACTGTTTTTAAACTGAATATTAGTCAAGCCATCACTTCATCTTCTGTTCATTCTGTCCTTCCTCCCCTCCCCCCTTTTTGGACAAACTGTGGCAAATCTTTCTTCAATGTTTATGGTTATGCTTCCTTGTGACAAATCTTTCTTCAGTGTTTATGGTTATGCTTCCTTTTCTTCCTGACTCTTTCTCCCTATTTCAGTTTTCATTATTATTTGTACATGACTTTGTGTTTATTATCTAAAGACTAATGTGTAATTTATCTAGGACATGGTTTGTCTTGTAGGTTGTAGCTCTTAGCATGATAGGGACCCTAAGGTATTAAACTAGTAACTTGTTTAGAACTGCTTTCTGCAAGAGTCATGCAGATTATTGTTGTTCTTTGTAACACGTGCCTGCCTTTCTTTACCATTTTCCACAGAAGTTTTGTAGAAATAGAAGTGAATAAAAATTCTGGAAAGTTACTGAAGTACCCACATATTTGTCCAAAGTGAGCGTTTGTATAGTTCCTGCATTTTTTGTGAATCTTTTACAAGGGAGTAGTTCAAACTTCAGTTTCTAGTAGGATAAACTGAGCAGTTAACTAAAAGATTAGTTAGAAAAATTTCTGGAAATATTCCTAACTTATTTCATTATAGCTATGGTTTTACTGAAATCTGTGCCTTACTTTTCTGTAAGGCTCTAAATATTGCTATAATTAGGAAGGAACATTTACATGTGAGGATAGTTGTGTAACGTAGCAATTGTGTAACCACAGATAAAATTCCCAGGAAAAAGGGAAACAAAAAAAAAAACCCAAACAAAACAACTTGAGCAGTATTTGAGTCAGTACTGCTTGGGCAACAGCTACTGCTATGATGGAAAAAATCTGGAAAACAGCTGTTCCTGTGCAAATGAGATCATAGCAAATAGGAGCAAGGAGAATCCATCAGTGGTATGTTTCCTATTTTAAAACTGGAAAGTGTTCTCTGTTTGGGAATTATTATTAATGCTGTTCTCATCTGTGTATGTTTAAAGAGCAAGACCAGCTAAAAATTGTATGCCAGCAGAATGAAATAGACCCCATTTATGCTCAGCACGCTTTCATTTGGGGCAAATTCTGAAGGAACAATTTTGCCATGTAGGTGATATTGTGCCCAAATAACTTATTTAAAATGCACTTATAGGATCACTTGTGCAATTCTGCTAAAGACTGTTCGATACGCTGAATGATAGCCTCACTTCTCCCTATAAAGAAAGAACTGCTTTTTCACTTCCTTTGTCTTTTAAGGAGCAGCAATCAGAGATGGCTGCTCTCCTCTCCACAATAGATGCGTTTTATCTCTGACTTAAAAGCAGAATCAGTCCGATGGAGAAGTAAAACAATGTATTTAGGGCTTCCCAAGTGTTGCTCTTAGTTGTGACCCGTGTCAGAAGCCCTTGCTATTTTATTAGCTTCTATCTCTGGCTAGTCAATGCCTTGTGAGGGCTGTGGTGGGGAGAACTATAGCAGACACCCTAGCGCTAGTGATTGCCACAGGTAGAATGGTTGTCATCAAGCTCTGCTTAGAGTAGTCGCAGATGGTGTTAACAAAAATACTTCTTTGGTTTCTTACCTGTATTTACTTTCAGGGTTGCCATCGCTGTGGACTTGTAGCCCTATTGAACTGGGAGATACTTTAGCAAATATCTTGAAGTAGGCAAGTATATTGATGCTTATTAGTTTGCAGTTTTGGGAGACAGAATATGTAGAGAAAGTGGCTGTATGTGCATTTTGCAAATTGGAGATGCGTTTTATTTCCTGTCTGTGTGGAGTGATATGTGTGCTTGGAACAGAAATCCAGGCGTCTGTAACAACAATCCATTTAGGAAATGCTGTGAAAATACATCATGAATTACCCTACTGATTCTTAGTTATTCCAAACAATAAATTGCAGTAGCTGTGTGACAATGCAAATAAGTTCACGCATATATGTGTGTGTGTATAATTATGTATGTATATGTATTATATGTGTGTATATTATTTATATATATAAAAATAAATAATGCCAGTCTTTTATTTTTATATAGATAAATAGATCTGGAAAACAGTTGCAAAATTATGTTTTGTAGATCCTCTTATTTTCATATGAGGTTTGCAGTCAAAATAAGTCCTTAATTTCTTTTTCTAGCTAAACTTTCATTTGTAATGCAGAGCAGTATTGTTATTATTATTTGCTTTTATTTTTAAGCTGGAGCCTTGATAGCTATCATCTGTCTTATGAATGTGAATGCACGTTCGACAAAGTAAGGGATGATCATGCAAAATTATTATTTTGACTGGCTCTACTTTCTGGGTCTAGGTCAAGCTAACATTATGAATTCTGTTTGCACCAATTTTTACATTTACTGGGAAGTTTCTTTAGGTGTCTGTTGCTGTATCCTCTTGGAAACAGGATACTGAGTTGGATGGACCATTTGGTTTGATTTAGCATAGTTGCTCCTATGTACTGATGATGTAAATATGAGAAGCAAAATGCACTGTGCAAAAACTCTTGTATGTTGTTGATCTTGGTATATAAATGTACAGTAGTGCGCTGTATAAATTTGCCGGTGGGGTCTATAAGCAGTATGTGCTTATGTTTTGTGAGGTAAGGTTTATTGGTGCCCCATTCCCACCAAAGAGCTGAATCCCACCTGCCAGATCTGGTGTCTAAGACATAGATGAATCCACAAACTAGGAAGAATTCTTGCCTCCCCACCTCCCTCAAGCAAAAAGAAAAGACAAGTGTTTGCTTTCTGCTCAAGCTAGAGAGGTTGTGGGATATGATTGTAATCACAGAGCATTACATAGATCTGATCCAATGGTGTGCGCACTTGTATCAGAACAGTATTAAAGGGAAAGATTTTAAACTCTTGGCCCAGGGCAGATGTATTAAGAACAAAACTGAAGATGACAAAACCCTCATTTTTATGTCTGGATATCTGCTGCTGTGAAGGAACCTGGTAGCAAGAAAGTGGTGAGCCTGAACTAACAAAAAGGTAAACTCTGTCTCTATAACTGCTAGAAGAAATCCTTTTGTGTGTCATCTCCTGTGCTCTACTTCCTCTTGTGAACACCAATGCTATCTTTTCTAGGGCTTCA